TAAGTTGTTCGCTCTCAGCCGAAACTGCGTTTAGGCCCAGTAAACACTCTAGAACAGCTAATTAGGTCCTCATATTCTTGCATATCACTTACATTTTCAGAGTTTAAGCATGTGACTATATTTTTTTGTCGTAAGGCGAAACCCTCACTGCATGCGTTCATGCAGGAATGCGCGCACACACGTTCAGCCCCTTCGCCATCGATACGACGGAGATGCGGTGGCGACGGGCGAGTTAATCGTGGCGCCGGCTCCTAATGCGCCTGTATGTTTGTGCGAAGATGTGCTATACGATTTCCAATTTCCCCAGTTTCGCTTCAATTAACATTTTTTGTTAGGACCAAACGTTGATTATCTAAACCGGGACAAAAGCGAGCATTTTTAACAATAAGCACTGCTAGCACTTTGAGAACGCTTCGGAATATCGCCAGCCAACACTAAAAACCGTGTGTGCCGCTTTAGTAGGAACCTGTTGTATTATCAGTCAAACAACGATGCAGACATTTCAGAATAGTTAACAACGTTTACAGCTACAGACCTAAGCAGAGCACAATATTTTCGTGGTTAAGATACATTTCCACCAACATTGAATACGATTCGCAAAGGGCCTAATATTTAGAACAGCCTTTTATCCACCATTACTCTACCTGACTGAAAACTGATTTGGCGTCTAAGAAACTGATGGGAAGCCTAAAAGTTTGCCTTTAGAAAGCATTGTTGACCCAGCATCAACTACTATTATTTACTGGATAAAAAATATTGCCAGTGGCATTCAAAAGTCAATGAGGCGTAAATACTTGGATGAGGAGGCTCTGAAGTAGATTTAACTAACTTCATTCAAATGGATCCGTAATAAAGTGAATCTAATTATGGAACCACCCAAGCATGAAGGCATTAAGGAAGATAAGAGACTTGGAAGAATTTTACTATCCCTCTTATGTTTGGTGACTGTTCTTGTCTAATGGAATTCGAATTAATCTGAAATTTTAGGTAGATTATGAGCGATAGCATTACATATCGTGATATTAAGCTGACTAATGCTTTCCGTTTTGCGGTCTATTCGACTGAGTCTTCCATTTTTCTTTTCTGCGAATTTATCGGGAATGGCTGGCATATATTATAGTCCTGAAGATCAATGTAAGGTTAACAACAGCAACCATTTGAGCAGCAACCCGCGTCTGGCCATCTGACGGGTTAACTCCCTCACATAACACTTCATCCAGTCCTAAGCCTTGTTAATTTGCTACTTATTACCCCTCTTGGCAGGTAGTGCCTTGAGAAGATAAACAAGTGCATTTGTTTTGAGCTTTCCTTAATCATGCTTTCGGTGGGTTCGATTTTCTAAAAACAGATCAAATGCATAGAACGTCGCAGCTTAAATGCCTGTATACATTTCCACGCACAAATCAGCTTTAAATAAGTAGTGGGATGTACTTTTTTTAGAAAACTTTGGCTCTAAAATATCTTTTAGCAATAATACAAAGAAGCCTATTTACTTATGTAAGGGTAATGTTGTGTATATAATGGTTTCGGAAGAATTTTAGGTACAGCCATATGCCCCATCTTATGATTTTCTCACCCTCTTGTTTGACTTGGCCTCAACAACTGTGGAATTCGTTGTAGGCGGCAACTGCATTCTGTTTCAGTGTTGCATAATAACTTTTTATATGAATGGGCAAGTCCGCCCCATTCGAGCCCGTACGTGAATATGCGCGGTGTACATGAATCACAATCGCGGTTTCTAATTGGAGCACCTGTGTTTAGCCTTACCCCTACCCCCGTTCTCTGCCCCCACCCTACCACGTCACAACACCCCCAATTAGGGGACTTGAGGATAAATTATTGGTCCTCACTGGCGTGGGGAGATAAACGAATATTGCAACGGCTTATTTAAATTCGTAGTCCTCTTGTGTGCACTTTTTGGTGACTACCAGTAAAATGGCGGCAATTAACAACTGGCTCTAAATTGTCCGAGTCGAATTCCCCAACTCAGCAACTAGCCCAACTTACCCCAAGCTCATGGGCTTTAGAATTTGGGCTGCTGGTCAGCTATCGGAACCATTGCACTCATGGTGCAAGCCTAATATGCATCAGCTAAAATCGCAACAGCAACAGTGATGGCTAACCCTTAAGGAACACGAGTAGCTATAGCTCATCATAAATTATTTTAACGCTCGATTAATAAAGGGATAACATAATGCTAGATTGCACAGCTATCGAATGTTATTTTGGACTGAAGACTTACACGATCTTAAGTTTCGCATTGTCAGTAAGAGTTTAATTTTATCTGTGTTTACGATTGTGGTCAAAGTGATAGTCCATGTTCAACAGCTATTCAAGAGCTCATTATTCATTCACGCGAAGGTTGCCAACTATATAGCGGTTATTCGTCTCTAACGTTGCTGTCATGACCTCAGCATTGAGGTCTCTCATTATTCATAAGTTACAGTTTCGACCCATTGCGTTGATCATTATGTAAAGTAACATTTGTGGATTGTCAAAGAGATAAATAAATGGATGGATCGGCAGAAATTGCATCTTAAATATGCTCAAATTGGACAGAAAAGGCACCTTTGGTGTGAAATGACCAATTTGATTTATGCTCATCCCTGCATCCATCATTAGGACGTTGCTTTAAAGAGGGCAAAGCGATCACTTTAAAAAAGCTGATAGGCAGAAACAAAAGCTCAGCCCAAGGCACATAAAGTTACATGCATAAAGCTTGCTTATGTGCATTGGTCCAAAGGTTATATTTATCGTCAATTTTACTTGTTTGCGATTAAAAGACTCCTTAACTTGACTTGAGTCTGTTAGGTAGATTTTAGTGATGGTGATGCTATTGGGATAAGATAGGGACCAAGTACAACGCTAAGATTGACCACGTGGGTTCTATGATTTGGAGTGAGGGTAGTGGTGAACTATGTCCCAAGGCCGAGTGGCATGTCGGCGCCTCGGGGGATGAATGAGAAAAGTTGGTGGGGCAGGAAAGTAGAGGGGAGACAAAATCCGTTCCTTGCCCCGTATTTGCTTAACCGAACGGTGGACCTCCCAGCTTTCCAAACAAGATGTCATGCGCATCATCCCATCCACGTCTCGTCTAAAATCACACTTAATCAGGACAAGCAGAATCGATTCCGATGCCTTATCTAAACATCACGGAAGTCATGTGAGGTTAAATAGTGCATTTGAATCGCGCTTAATAACAAGTTGACTTGATTTTTAGCATGTCTCGGCCTCCAATACTCACTAATACTTAAATTGTTTCGTTATTCAAGAGAAACGCATAGAAATAATGGGGTCGCAATAATTTATTGACTTTGGTTATCTCACAAAGGCTAGCAGAAGTTAATGCATTGCTTGATTTTTTGAGCAAAATTACTGAATTAGCTTTTGGACGGAGCGTACACAGAGCACCATCTTCTTGGAATGGTGCAATATAGAATCGGTGAAATTGCGAGAAACACTGTACGCTTAGAGCAGGAGTCGTCATGCCCTGGAGTCCATGTAAACAGAGTGTGGAAATAGAATAAAATCAATTAGATTGAGAAATTTATGTATGGGATAAACTTTGTTACATGAAACACCGAGCCTGATGTTACGCAGTCTCAGTGACCACTGTACTTTAAATAAACTTAAATTTGAATTGCGACATCTGGAGCAGCCTGTGCATTCGTCCTAATTAAAACTCAATGTGCATATTTTGATGCCCACATAATGCTTTGCCCCGAAATCACGCACATAGGTGGTTACACGCACACGCCCATGCACACACACCACAGATTTACGACGTGAAGTGTTGTACGTTCCCTCCCTCCCTCCCTCCCTCTCTCCACCTTTCCACCGCCTGTGCCAGTTCGCTAGATGGTGCGTGGCCTGTTGTAGTGACCACCCATAGAATCAAGACTACCGCACGTCTTAGGAACTATACCTGTTTGATGTTTCGATACATAGATAGAAATAATTTGGATCACCTTAAATACCCATGTTACCATGATTAGGCCTCAGTTTCACGCATCAGCTAATCAATCTGGACAACGCATGTAGGATGTTTAAACTGACTAGCGCAATCAACTTGATATAAAATGGCTAAAATTTATCAGCTTTGGCTTTTTGATTCCTAGTGCGGAATATATGACGCTGCATAAGCTGCAACTGCTGTAATAGTTTCATTAAATTGTTTTAAAGCGGTATATCATTGTTTCTTTTCACATGAGTAGCTCGAAACGATTGGCTTAAAGCGCCCTTTAAGCGTAGAATAAAAGCAATGGTAGTAGCCCACCAATTTACTTGGCAATTATGACATTGAGAATGCCAAAAAGGGACAAAGAGTACTCCCATCGTTGGTTTCTGATGGGAAAACATTGATATATTGGCTCAATTTTATGGTTTTTCTTTAGACAACGTGTAGCGTACAGGTATGTTTCCTGAGCTCTTTGATCAGTATAAACTGACGGAGACATCGGCTGCTATTACTCTTGACAAAACAAAATACAAGAAAATATGTAAATATATCAAATGAATGTGCTCTTAGTCACTGGAGTCGCGTAATGTGAAGTGAATGCTAGGGAAGTACACTAGTCGGGAAAGTTCATGCTTGTAGCAGCAAAACACTGTTGCTAGCTAAGATAAAATCCAAACAAAAAAGAGAACGCAAAATATAAATAATGTATTCGTTGGGCGATAGAGAATGCGCGCAAAGGCGCACAGAAAATTGTGTGCGCGGCTTGGTGCGTCCGTACACAAGCATGGCTGTTGGTGTCTCCAATCAGCACCAACCCCATTAAGCGTTTATCCAATCAACACTCAAGGCTTACATGCTATCTCCTATATGCGTAGTAAGAAGTTAACACGCGTAAGTATTCCACCAACCACATGCCACCTAAAGTAAGAGACGCGCGTAGATGCGCGCGCACTTATGCATATAGCTAATACGAAACACAGGGGAAGAAATATAGTTTTATTTGACCTAATCACATCCCCACTGACTCTCAAGGTTTGGTGTCATGCTCTCACTTACCACTAAAGCATCCAATGAGACAATGCATGTAAATAGTGATCCCATTGATAAAGTTGATCCAGAGATGTATGCATCTTCTCATTCATTAACAGACGGTGATGATAAACTCAAGCGACCCTCCAAGAGTCCATCACCAGCGAAGGGGCAAACAAAGACACCGCGTGTTCAGGCGTTTCAACCTCTGAAGTGTCGATGCGAACGATCTTTTATTGGCATCGCCGAATTCGTCTTACATGCTCAAACATGTCCTGATTTAATGCATTCATCGGAAAACGCGGTTGACCTAAGCTCCCAATCGCCAAAACCGATAAGAACAGAATTGCCAAAGGGACTACCACCACCGACAAATGATGCTTTGGATCTCACCGTCCGTGGCATCGAATCGACAACAGCAGGGTTAAATACTACGAATCCCACTCTGACTTGTCCGGAATGCAAAGTGAATACGGTGAGTCACATGCAATTACTACGTCACTTTGAACAGGCTCACGGTATTTATGGAAACTACGCATGTTTTTGTGGTGTAGAATTCGGTTGGCTTCCAGCTTTTTTGAGTCATCACCTTCTTTGTCCAACAGTGACTTCTAAGAAACCACAAAATGCAGGTTTTGAAGGAAATTTCTCAAAAAAACATATTCCACTTCAAATTAAACAAGCAAAACCAACGCTTGTAAGTATCCAACCCCAGCCTGACCTTTCACGGCCATTCAAATGTTGTCACTGCGTAAAATCCTTCAAATCAAAGGCTCTCCTTGATCAGCATATGCATATACACTATCCACCAAAGTACACCTGCCGCTACTGTGCAAAAAAATACCGCTGGCCTCCAGTCTTCTATCACCACCAACGCACCTGCAAAAAAAGGCCCTCTACAGCTGCTGTTGGTGCCACTACAAATAATTCCTCTATCGGAAGATCCAATGAACCCACCCAAACTCGCGGTTATGGTCCGCGTGTTCCCCAGTCCTCCACTTTTCAGTTTCCCATACCACCAACACCTCCACCAGTCTCCGTTCCGGCGCTCTTTCTACTTCATTCTCCGACGCAAGAACTTCGACCGCCCATTCCTTCCGCACTTTTACTGCCGCCTCCACCACCACCTCTTCCGGCCTTCGGTAGGTCTTGGGAAAGGAAAGAGGCAGGATCGCTCATAAATATGGCCTCTCTTCGGCTACCACCGTTTCCCTTGCCTCTAGGAGCAAACCCAGATAATCTTCGATTTCCTGCACCGCCTCCGCTACCTCTACCACCACCACCATTGATATTGCCGTTTTACTCAGCGCTTGAAAGCCACATTTCCAACGTCTGTGTTGAGAATGGCTCGCTGAACGAGACATCGTCCCCTGTGACTTGCATGTGTGGAAGAGTTTTTGAGAGTCTCTCGCCATATCTCAGCCACATTGCCGCCTGCCCTCTGTTCGGGAGGGCTTTGAGTATCCCTCCACCGTCCTTGGAAGAAGCTAACTCAACGATGTTTTTAGCAAACATGATTTCTGTGCTTGAAAAGTGTAAGCCGGAGTTTTTCCAACAATTTCTAAATCGGAATTCGCCCCAAAGTGAAGCTCAGGACAGCGGGAGCAATTTGTGTGACCAGTGTGGCAAAGAGTTTTCGTCACGACTTTCGCTGAAGCAGCATGTGGAGGGCAAGCACAGCACCGAAGGAAAGTATCAATGTCCAGGATGCGCAAAGCGGTACCGTTGGGGTGCCTCTTATTACTATCACAAAAAGTCTTGCCCTGCAGTGTGTCGAGAGGATGAAGAGAACTTCGTGGAAGATGAACTCTGCTCGTCCCCATCAAATGCTGCAAATGTTAACGAAAATAGCATGTGTGCCGTAATGCTTTTTCAGTCTGCCGCTGAGCTATTAGAACAACAGCAACATAGCAATCAGTCACAAGTGGCGCCAGTCCACAAGCAGCATCAGTTTCCTCCGCATGAGCACCAAAGAGAGGCTTTGACAGTACACGATAGTGCGGAATACGATAGAAACAGAATCATGATGAAGGCAAATACAAAGCAGGATTCAGAAGGAAACGTTGTAAGCATTGAGCTACGATTTATTTCTTTAAGTTTAGAGTGAAAGCTGCTTCGTATGGGTGCATGATAAACGAGAAACTAAGTTCTTCTAATTTTTAAGTTCTTATAGTTCCACTCGCAGTTTGACCCTAACTATTGAAGCAACAGAATAAGTAGGTGATATGGAGAAAGTCGACCGATTTAATGATGATAATTGAACGATCTTAAAACGTTTCCCTTAGGTATTCAGACTACAACGGTATCCGTTTAAGTGGGGTAAATACATGAAACCACATTACAAAAGAGGGTGCTCTACCAAACTCCTATTTAGGTAACTCTCGTCAAATGGGACTTAAAAAATTACCTCTCCACACACTAAAAGGCGCTTTGAGTGCACACTGCCCTTAATAAAAGTTAATAACTAATGTTATAAGGTGAAATGGGGTGATGCAGCCAACTCTAAACTAACCTGACAACCAGCAAAGGTAAAAAAGATCTCTTTCCGCCATTGTTTCATACAATAAAAATGTGCGACACTTCACTTACAAGGCATTAAAGTTTTTAGTTCTGACCAGGCAAACAACGTAAGCTTCATTGTTGTTAAACTGTCTAAATTTGACTTCATACATTATCTCTGCTGAAAATTAGTCGTGTGGCGTAACCGCAAGACCAGATTTAAGTTAGTGAGGTCAAAAAGCGCATACTTCGAACTTCGTCCTGGATAGTGGCTCATGTTAATAAGCGTCGGCCACACATTGTGCGGACATGGTTAATGGATAATGACCATGTTTCAAAACGCAATCTAACGTGTAACAACTAGATATTTCTAATTAATATTAGATGAATTTTGTAGTCGTCCCTAAATATCCTTTAAATTAGTGCACCTTTTTGAGAAAATTGAAAGGGAAAGCCGGTCGTTGGGTGCGCCGAAATTACTACTGTCACCTGTACCCGCAGAAATTTCTCTCTTTTGGTACAAACGGCAAGAATGAACACGATCTTAGCATTTTTGTCGGTACTACAAAAACTGATAAGATGAGGAGCTGATGTGGTAACATGAAGTGCTTAATTTACATTAAAGAGTCAGCTCCAAGTTGCAAATACAACGTGCACGTCGCCATGTAGAGATTGTGGTAGGTGCAGTTTTGGGTGAGACTACTGGGGGAGGGGATTCATGAACGAACAATGAAATTATATAACGTCGCATAAACCCAAATGTCGGACATACTGTAGGTTCAAAGTACACCAATGTGTATTATATTTGTTCCGAGGGCACCCACAAAAATGCAGTAGAAAAGTGGTCGCTGTGTTTAATTTGCACAGAGTGACTGTTATGTATAATTGTGAAGCTGTTATACCCAGTTTAGCGCCACTCGAATGCTCCATTAAGGCACAACCCAACTGTGTGCCTTGTGTTGAAGACAACCCAAATTCGGTGCAGAACACATTGTAGAAATGTTGTAAGAGAATAGTGTTTACACGTTTAAGGACAAAAACTAAGTACACAAGTGACTTCGTGATGGGCATACAGTCGGTACGGGCAGTCAAGTTTGGTGCATGCTTTGAAGGTCTCTAAAGGGTCCTGCCTGCCAGCTGCAATGAAGGACACGACACCGGATTTTGAAAGAGCCTCGGATTCACCCCCAACGCCTTGATGGAGACGACTACAGATGCCACTCACCATTGTGCTGCTACAAGCTGCTGTAAACAGTTATATTTCCTTCCCCTTGCCCATTCCCTCTTTCTACCACTGCCCAGCCACATCGTGAACACAACAGCTCTCGAAACAACATCCACCTCATTTGTACTCTTACTCTTGCAACAATCTGGCCCAGCACACAAAATCCTCATGCCTATTTGTTTTGAATCAATAATACAGGTGACAAGTTAAAATGCTTAAAATGCGCTACAGTTTCAATCAAGCACTAAAAATGTTCTAACTTTTTTGAGCAAAGGAAAATTCCAAGAGTAATTTACTGTGTGGAAATCAATTTTAACAAATGTTGTTCAACTTTACGAAATTTTCACAAATTATTTGATGTCAGAAGTAATTGGAATGGCAGTGAATAGCAAACAACGTCTTGATTAAATGCTTCTCAGGTAGGGGCAAAGTCGTGAGGACTAATATCTCAAAGCTGAGGCATAAGGGGACTGAGTAAGCGTAAGAGGGGATGGGGTGGGTGAATAGCGAACTCCGCATTCCCTTGTTATTCCAATATCGGTCCAGCAAATGTAAGGGGAGAATTACTAACGGTAGAGCCTTAAAGAATCACAATTTGTTTTCTTGGGCGGAACGAGTATTGAGAGAGCATTGACGATGAGGGGTGAAGAGTTATCCGACCTTACGTCACTTTGAACCTCCACTGCTCCGCAATGCCCGAATGAAAAATACCATATTTCCATGCTTTGAGAATGATAGCATGGGGCTCATCGATGACACTGGTTCCAGTGGATTTGCTGACAAGCATTTCTATTAACGAGAACTATTTCGAACCAATTGAAAGCGGTCTAAAAGTCGACCATTTCAGTACCGACTAAAGTATGGAATGCTTTCCGAAGTGCACAGCCACTAATTCTACTTTAATAGTAAAATAAGGTCTGAAACTAGCTTTACTGGTTGGAGTAAAACAAAAAACTTCTTTTTCCAAATTGATACAACGACGGCTCTTATTTCAATGTCAGTACCGTATAAATTACTGAGCAATTCCTCATTTATGTGCATTGGCATTGGCGCTGTTTAATCAACTTCAACTCTCAACCAACAAAAGTCGTTACAAGCAAAACTAAGTTTCCACATTAAACGCCAAGTTTGCAGTGGGTATAAGGTTGTTTATGCGTAGTAAAAGTACTTAAATCTTTTGGTGGAACCCGGAATAGAGCCCAACCTTTACGGCTGCGAGACGGTTTTCAGACTCGATGCCATTTATGCCATTCATTTTGATTCTGTAAATGTCAGCACTGACGGACACATCGCCTTACTCTTATTTTGATGTCCCTCTTCTTTCCTTGCTTAGTGCATTGCTCCAAAAGGAACAGTTTGTTTTTCTTCAGTGTCAGGAAATTTTAAACTAAAATGAAAAACAACGGTAGACTGAAAGTAATTATAAGAGATTCTACTTACTATTTTCGAATGAATAACTGAAACCACATTATTTGGATTTGAACGTCGTTTCTCGATTGTTCCTTTCCCCTTCCTCGCTTCCCCCACCTTAGATATGACAGTTTGCAACATCCAATAGGTGTTCTCTCATCCCGTTAGAATAAACATAGAAGCCAGTCTCTTGTTACTTTTCCACGAGTGTAAGACGATATTCTTTGAACGTGTTTACCCGGACGTGTCTCATCATTCACGTGGATGTGTGTGTGTGTGTGTGTGTCTGAGTGCGGGTGAGAGAATGAATGTGAGTGCGCACCTGCAGTGGGGCCACATGCGTGTAACATTCAGCAGACCGGTGTGTGTATGTGTGTGCTCCAGAGCGATTGCATTAGCGTCGGCTAAAAGTAGTCCAACACTTCGACTAGCGTCAAAGTGATGCCATGGATACACTGTACTGTTGCAGAAACACGAGGGCGAGGGAGTAAAAGGCCAAGATCACGTTTGCGAATCTACGCCGATAAACATTTTATCATGTCACATCTTGTTTGTCTCTTTTCCAGCATTTAATAGGATCGCAGTCTAAATCATTTTGATTTTCTTAGTGGTGGCCTACATCAGCACATTCATGTGCTCTGATGTTCGTTAACAATTCTTAAAGTCTTGTGTTATTTTCGGAAGTTCGTGATGAAATTTGTCCCCTTACCCCATCACTTCTTATAAGGCAAATAATGAATCGGGTGAACGTTAGAATGACGAAAGTAATGCGTTAAACCAATGAAGAAAGCCCGACATTCGGTTACTTCAAGCAAAACAACTTTAGTCTTACTTCAAAAAAAAAACGCCGTGCGTTGCACAAAATTGGCCGGCATTCTGTCTGTCCCCGATGGGGATCGTTATTTGATACACTGCGACTTAATCGGATGTTCAGGAGTTGACTGTTCGTGTACACCTAACAATTGTGCCTAAGAACATATTGAAGGAAACTAATTTACCAAAGTGGCGTCTTGTAGGCTTCACTTTATAATTAGACAGCTGGTTGTGCGGGTGACGTTTTCTCCCCTCGCAATCCCGAGACGACGGCTGGATATCACTGCTGGCGATCAGCTCAATAGGCTTTCACGATTAACCAAGTGACACTTCATTAAGGACGAACAGAAAAATAACGCAGTGGCTATAATTTGAAACAGGACGGGGAGGGTTAAGGTGAGTACAACGGTGCTGGTAAAGTATTATATAAACTGCTAAAACTTAGCGCCAGTTTTTTTGGGAAAAAATTTAAGAAAAGTATGCATTAAATAAGCAAGACACGGTCTCATCCCTTTCATTCACCCAATCCGAGGTTAAGCTACAGTTTGTGTCAATCGTGCTGTAGGCCTAGGGCAGCAACTTTTTAATGATGACATCAATAAACTGTTCATTTGGTACCAGTCAAGTCAGTGTGATAGTGATGAAGGAAGGCTGGTTGTCCGTTTCGCATAACTTCTAACCCATTTTTGTCGGTCCTATGAAATGTGCGTTTTCGATTTTAATGCGACCGAAATTTGTCGAGGTGATCCTAAAGGCAGATCTAACCCAACCAGTTACAAGGTTTCAAACAAGACTGTTCCCATTCATTAACAATGATTATTTTGCCTTTCTTAAAACTCACTTCGGAAGCCGAACTGAACTTTATTCAATTCTAACAACAACAACAACAACAACAACGACAACAGCAACAATAACAACTAGATTTCTCAAAAGCTTCAATTTCTCAAGATCACATTGATATTCTTATCTGATAAAATTTAATAAAAAGTAGGCTAAAATGGAATTTGATGCTTTAGTGCCTCACCCCTGATCTCCACGCCTGCGTTGCTTCATACTCCTGGCCAAACGCAACTTCGAAATGCGCTCCAGTCACGCTCGCTGGAGGAGATACAATTAAGTTAATTAATTTATTAAACTGGAGGAATCTGCATGCGCTCCGCTCACGCACGTTTGCACGCACACAAAACACGTACACCCTTTTTCGGATATTGTGAACGAGAGTGGGAGAGAGAGAGAGAGAGAGAGATATTGTCTTTTCTCTGAGGGAGAGGGAAGGCAGGGAGGGAGAGGGGAGCGATCAAAGCTTCACGACATTGCAAGCATTCCGCGTGTCTTTTGACAGTGCCTCGTTGAGGAGGGGAAGGGGATTGGGTGGGGCGTGCGAAAGCCAGGTTGGAGAGAGAGAGCACGAATTACCACAACGTGAATGCGTTAATTATGAAGCGCGTGATAATTGTCTGCAAGGCTCGCGCAAATACATAAATTAAAGAATGGCCTTCTCCTCTCCCCTCGCCTCTAAAAATGGGGAATCTTGGCGTTTGCGTGTATCACTTAATTACCCTACGCTTACCATTCTCTGCCAGGCATCCCGTGTACTGACAGGGAAGTGAATTCCAAATGATGAGCTGGCTTGAAGGATGTGATGCGTGAGAAGGCATAAATTTACATTTCTCAAAATTGGAGGGCATGCTTAATGGTGACTGGAAAAAATTGTCAATTTCATAAAAAAGAGCACCTATTTTTGATGACTACGATCCATCCTCTTTCTGAAACCTGGAAGTGTTGTTTCCGTGGTAGAAGCATCAATGAAGATGCAGCAAGTTGACCGATGTTTCTTGGTAATCACATTTGACACATTTTTATTGGGAGCACATCGAAAGTACACGCAACCATAAATAGGTGCAACATTATTTTTGCTTGACAACAATCCACATCTAACTGAACTCATGCAAATACGAAATTTCGCGACTTACGTATTCTAAAAGTACAAAATGTAATGCATAAATCACTCACACTTTGTTACTTATTGCGGAACATTGGGATTGAATACACTGGGCCAGTGCATATAAAGGATTTTGTGCCTCTAGTTTCAATTTGGCATTCAAACTTTGCGGATCCAATTTGGGTTAGGATGTTTGTGCTTTAAAACTTATTCTTTATCAGTATCACAATGCACGACCACAAGTAGGAAAATTTGGCAAGAATTCCCAAACAGAAATCACTTTACAACGGCAGTGCAGTCTAAAGAAGTGAAGGAAGGTGCGATTCAATATCGCTTGTCAGGCTGCTATCTGTGACATCGGCGAATAACTTAGTTGGAGTCGGAGGATCAACACAAGTTGCTATTACGTAAAGATCTAAGAGCGATCACGCTTTTACGTTTAATCCAATCTTCACTTGAACATCATTTGTGCTCTGTAACTCCTAAAGGCAGACCGAACATCAATGCGCTGTCGTTTAATGCTTTTAACCACACCTTGAGAATTCGAACGCGTTTAATTGCAGTAGCAAGGGACAAAGTTTAATGTACTAATGATCTCAGAATTCAAAGGCAAAATACAATATTTGAAGGAAAATGACCAGCCAGTGCTCCATCCACCTGCATGTACGCCCGCACTACTGACCGCTGGAAATCTTCAATGTGGGACTGCAGAGAGGATGCGCGTGTGGTCCGTGGCAAAAGGAAGGGAGGGAAGGGGGAGGAGAGGAGGATGGGTGGCATAATTATCCCATCAAGCATACGCATAACAGGTGAGTAGATAAGACCTGCGCCACCACCACCCTCTTTCTGCTGATACACAACTGAGACCACCAACGTTGCATTCTTTCCTCGCCTTGCCTCATCGCTCCTCCACTGCCCTCCCATTCCCAACCACGTGTCACCTCGTCAGACTGATTTCGGTGCTCGAGATCTAATAGACCTGGGTGGTTTTATTGTTCCCCCATGTTAGTCCATCAACCGGGTTGGATTTCATTTAAAATGCACAGTAAGCCTAGGCCTCCTGACTGATAATTTCCCATGATTCAGACCAAATTTATAGGTACAAAAGCGTTTACCCTTTTAAGCAGACAAAATCCGAGAGTTGATGATCAAGAGAAGTCCATCCTGTTCCCCAATTCTCTCCTCAATGATTTGCGCAAAACATGAGGTTTCACACTTAACGAAATCCCCAACGCCATTCCAGAAGATCATCTTTGAACAATGAGATGCGCAGGATTAAGATGGTTTTGGTGCTCATCATAATTCGAATGAATTATACCATTAAACCTGGAGAGAAAGTATAAAACTCTCTTAAAGAAGTGACAAAGTGACAAGCAAATTGTTAACAGTTACTGACGATGAGGAGGGCAATTTCATCGAGTACTGGCGAAGTTTGTTGAAGGGTGCATTGACAAATTCATGCGGCAGATGAAGACCCTTTAATTTAAAGCCATTTGTGCTAGGCGTAATGAAATATGTATGAAGCATGGTTTTAAGTATGAGACCAAAAATAAAAGTAAACTGATTGAGAACTTCTTGTGAAATGAGAGGAACGTAAAACTAGGAACCGCTGAGGTGGACCTCGATTTGGCATAAAGGAGGCAGTGAGTTTACAGAAAAATGGACACCGATCGGACTCAGTGGGTGCCATTTCCTCTTTGTGAATGTAAGGGAGTTGCCATCGATGATTTTATGATTATGATGGGAAGCCGCTGTCCGTCAGTTGTATGTACATGCAATGAAAATGTTCACAGCCTCATTTAGCGCCGAGCGACCAGCACATCCCCATGCTGATCACTTTAAGGCACTCTTGCACCACCTCTCCCATCTCAGTTGCGGCCACAGTCGCCATGTGTGATTTACACCCACCTCGATTGAGTGTTATGGGAGCTGCGGATATGTGTGCGTGTGGTCGTGTGAATTTCGTGCTGTTGCTGGGCCTTGTAATTAAATGCTCTTGCTAACGACCTGCGAAAAAGCAGGTTCCTTAGGGTCAGTGAGGATGCAATCATCTCTACCTATTAAAATGCCCCCTCTCCTATTCCACCAAACCTTGACCGGTAATTTGAATACTTCCCTATCCCTTTCACCCCTCCTCCTACATAAAGCACGTCTAGTTTGACTCCATGCCCGTAAGACCGTTAAATTGCACTAAGTGGACGCAGAACACCCTAAGAGGTAGCCAATCAACTGGTTCGCAGAATCAGTGCAATCCACCCTAGTCGATGGGACTCGGCTTGATCAAGTATCCCATTCGGATGCATTTTTTAAGTAGAATCCATGCAGCACCAACTCATTAACATTTAAACAATTCTAGTGGAATGCTGGATAATTTTGATGGGATTTAAATAACCATTGGTGAACTATGGCAGCAAAAGGCGCACTTGTGGTCAAAGTCTTGGACCAACTAGAATGAAGGGTAAAAGCAATTGAGACTGTTGGACTTAATAATCATTTAGGTGGGCACAGCCTGCTTGCTTCTATGCTGAGCAGGTTAGCATCGAAAGGTAACGTCAAGTAAGCAAAAAAGAGCATTTGCTGGTCTACAAAAGCCTTGCAATCAGACTTTGTGCAACTGCCTCTTCAACGTTTGGCTGAATGTTTTGAGATCCTATTTTTTCAAGCAGATCCATCAGGGAGCCTTTCATCTGGGGTGAGGATAATAGGGAAGTCATCTTAGCAGTGTATTAAAAGGGAGCATAGTCCAGTAAATGGCAAGTAAAACCAATGCATGCAAAGCACAAATACGAGTCAAACAGGCGACCCGGGAAAATGATTAGCCGAGGCGCCATAAAATACCGCCAAGTGGATGCCTACATCAATCGATCATTGCATTCATCGAATGCATACTTTTTTAAAAGATGTGCTTGAGGTTGTGCGCCCGTATTACGGATGAGGAATTGGGGGACGAAGTAGTTACGAAATCTGCACCACCACACCGAGGCCTCCACCGCTCACTCAACACACGCGTACTCAGCTGTCTGCCAAAGACCTCATCGTCTCAGAGCTGGCTAAGGGATTGGAGATCGAGCCCTATCTTGTTGATTTTACAGACTCTTCTCTAGTCCTTCCATGTCCCACAAAAGCCATCATCTACTTGCTCTGCACAACAGCGCACATTAAGTGCTCTCAGCAAAAACTAACATTCTTAAAGCAAACTGCTTGGCTATGCCACATTCCTTGTACTCATTTATAGACATTTGCGACTCCAACTACTTGTTCACCTTTGTGTAGATGATTCCAGTGCAGAACCGCGGACATCCATCATATCCATCATATTATCTTTGAAGGCAAAATAAAAGTGAGTGTTATTGAGGGTCATTCTTCAGTAGGCAGTTTGATTCAAAAGCAGAGTTCTTTTCAAAATAATTAGTCGGGAATACTTGTTGCTACTTTGCCTTTCTTTTTGCACGTAGAACCTGTAATCGCTCTCACACGACCTCTACCGATCTTTGACTAGAAAAGCGAAATAATTATATTGAAGCGCCACTTACGCGCACAAAGCGCCTTTCACTTGTTGTTTTTCTTCTGAAAATGAAAGACGACAAATTTATGAACGCCTAACCACAGTCCCTTTATGCACATAATTACTAAGAGTTGCAAACACGCAAAGCTACCGTCGATCAGTCCTTCTAATCATCCACGATTTCGACAGAATGGTTAGCTTTGAGCCAGGCAAGATGATAAAATGAGCTTTTGTCCACCGATTTTATCATTGAAATTGAGTAACGAAATAGCGATTGGTATGGAGTAATGACTTGCACGCGGGACTGCAACCCAACACTTGTGATTGCTCATAAAATCTACTGGCAAAAGAAACAATTTTAGACAACATTTTTAAAGCACAATTTAGTAAGTTTTGTCAGATCTATGAGCATGTCCTACAAAATCAGTGTGCTCAAAAGAAGTTCCTTAAACTTGGCGGATTGCCTCCCATTTTCTCATAGGCATCAATTGAGCACTCAGAAAGGGATTGATCCTTTTCAGGTACACATTTGCATTGCTAGGATGCATCACTGCAGAATTCATAACGTAGGCAGCTCTTTTGGGAGCAGCCCATTTTACATTTTCAAACCACTTATCTCAGGGAACTGCTTATTTGTTTAATACGGAATTGTTTGGATGGTGCGCTGAACATCAACTTCCAGAGAGGTTCGGAGTAGCAACGAACAAAACCAAACCTGAACCGTGGGTCAGATGATGAAAAGCTTCAATCCCAGTTAAAGGTAGAGAACTGTTCGCGGAGCAAAAGCTGAGCTTGGTAATGTCACACATTGGCCACGACGCATGCGTTTGTTACAGCCTTGACAGCTTTCTTTTTGGTAAAGCAAGCCCCTGTCGCAAATTCAAATTCTGGTGTACAAAAGGCGCAGTTTCACAGAAATTTATGGATGTAGAGAAGGCGTCATACAAGAGCTGGGCCAAAAATTAATCGAACACTGAATTGGCCCTTAGTCGTCATTTAGTTTCTTTTTGATTTCCACATGATGCGCATCTCAAATTAATGTCGTACATTGACGGTAAAGCAATAATAGTATCAAATAGTTCACAAAATCGTATGAAACATTTGGCACGGATAAGACCAGTCTTGAAGTTGAGTTTATTGCTCACTGCTCAGTGCTCCGTCGAATGGGTGCAAGCCACTTTATCAAACCGATCTACTGGCTTAGTGTTAGTAGCGTCACTGCGGCATAAAAGGGCAACTGTGGTTCAGAATGCGTCACGTCTGCTGCTATAATACCTTCAATAATCAGCAAAGATATTGTAGAGTACGATAGAAAGGGACACGTTACCTTGCACATCAGTTGGTTGCGATTTCCACGCACCAAAAGGTCCGCTTCGAAGATTTCACATGGGAGTATTTAAGAACGTTCTCTAAGTTGCACGAAAGTCGACAATTGCGCGTAAGTGGTGGTCTAATATCGCGATACGTCATGCATCATATATTTTGCAACTCACCCAAGCACCCTTGAAACATTGCGTCTCCTGAGGATAACATGCCTTAGCGGGTGCCATTAATTAGTCTCTAACATTTTTCAGTAGTCAAAACCAGTAATTCGCAAAGAACAAACTGTAAAATTTCCAAAACTTTGGTCAAGCTGAAAAGAAACAACGTCCAATTCTAGTGGAGGAATGCATCGCATCTATTTAAACCTACAGTCCAGATCCACGAATACCGGTTTGAAAAATGTTTCCATAAGTCCTTTCAGGCATGTGGAGCCCAGTGACCCTTGCACGTGTCTTGCTCAAACCAGCTGACCGAGGACCGCTTCACTTTTTCTCACAGTGTTGGGGAGAGTTCGCAAGGATTGGCGTCGGAACAACACTACCACAAAATTTTGATGCATTGAGGAAACAGCAAACAAATTGGAAAGGCATCCCTTACATCATGACATTCATCATACATTCTAGCAATCGTGATTTTAACTTTGCTTTTCTCTAAAGCTGTACGGCAATCTTACCCAATATACATTTGCAACATCAAATAAAAAAAGGAATTTTGCTGTCAACTGTTCAGAAAATAGCACAGATACGCCAGAATTTCTCTGAAAACACTGACTTACCATGGGCAGTTAGATTGATTAACGTCACACAGAAATTCCTCTATACAAACATGCGATAAATCATCACGTCAGCGGCAGACATTGAGAAGGCGTTTCTACGTCGAAGTCTTTCCGATTTCTTTTGATACTAGTGATGCTACCTTGTGAACGACATCTCCAATGAAGCTATAGTCTATCGTTGACACGAAATGAAGTAAGTACCGATGCCTGGCCATGGTTCGTACTTATCAAATAGATAAGATGACGATAGGTAGTTTCATCAGTTGAGAAGCAGAGAAGGGTTAGTGTGGACTAGAAATGTCCATGGAGCACAAGTTCCATATTCATTCACACACGGCCACAAGCGTCTATTCCAATGAATTGGGAGTATTGAAACCAGCTGCCACAAAGACGAGCCCTTCCACTAAACATAAGAGCCATTCTTCAAACCGACCCTACTGCGCACCTGGGAGCGGGATTTCTTCCGAGTCAATTGCAGCTCTTTGACACTAATAATTAACAGTCAACACACGAAACTATCAGCTTTAAGCGCACTAAAACTACCCTTCAAGGACCTCCGAAATAATTCCAAAAACAAAAGTGATCCAAAAGGATCATTTTTCATTACCTAACAGTCACAGATAATGAAGTAACAACTGCAGCGGAATCTGTTGCAACCGGAGAAGAAGCCTTCCTAGCTCGACAAGGCAAGCAGATCCGATAGGCTAAAGCCAGAATATAAGAGGGAACACAAGAAAGAAGGGTAAAATTGGCTGGGAGGCGCAAGCAGAGTGGGAGGTGTAAAGCAAAGAAGTAAGATGCGAAAGCAATTGGGAAAATAGGAAGTTCGGAATGCTGAGGTGTGACAATTTACAAAATGTTGCATCTCCTCTTTTTGTGACCTTGTTTAGCGGGTTGGCCGGGCTGGTGCTGCTGTCTCTGGGCCAGTTTCAGTTGATACACCTCCTGGGCAAGACTAAGGAAGGCCTAAAATTAATATCAGACATAAGACGGTTGGCAATTTATCGTAAAAATCTGTTATAGGGGGCAAAATACAGTAAAGCAACATGCGCTAAATTCGAAAAAGACATTACGACTGATTGGTTACCGCTACTGCTACTAAAGACAGTATATCGTTATGTGCGTATGTCTCCGATAGCAGACCAGCGTCCAGCAGAAACGCTGCAAGACAATGCTGATGCTAAATGAACGATAATTACATAACTTCAAGAAAATTAATTTCGAGTGCTATAAGTTTAGAGACGCTTAACCCAATTCCGATGGATATGCATCAAGGTAAAAAGGATAGTGGTTTGGTAATCAATGCGAATAGTTTGCTGCCACGTAATTCTGATTTAATGCAAACTCACTTCGCACTTTCAAGAGCTAGCCGGGTACAACTAAGTGCATCCTAGTGTTTCGAAAAACTATAGTGCGATAATCACATGATGCCGCTGCTAGAGGTTCTGATAGTCTGCATATCGAAAGAACAGCAATTTGAACGTGTGAGGAGGAAGAGTTTGTGATTGAGGTAGAGGACTCTTGCAGTTCAGTAGTACCTTTTCAACATTCGTATTGGTCTTAGCTGACGTCTCAAGATAGGGAACGTGGCACTTGCGGCAGAATTCCTCTGCCTCTTCCTTGGACACCCTCCGATTCTCTGTCAGGTCCACCTTGTTGCCACATATCAGCATCGGCACCCTATCCACACGCTTCACACGAAAAATCTGATCCCTAAATCAAAAGATCTCTGGAATCTCGAAGAAGTAGAGAGAAATTTGAAGAAAGCCTTTAGCAAGGCCCATTTAATATCAGGGGTAGTTGGTTAATAATTTACACATGCTCCTATCGTTAAACAGGTGAAACAACTCAACTATCTGCATAAAATCATTCAAACCGATTTGCGAAAAAAGACCAAAAAGAGAGCTACCGAACAAATTGAACAATTTGAGGAATCGAGGTGGGATTATGACCATACAAGTATTTATAGTACGGAACTACCCAATGGCAAAGGATGTGTCAAATATTTTCCATATTTTCCCATCAGCCAATACCATTAGACTCTTCAAGTTGATTGGCTTCTCACAACATGCATGCATGATCACAACGCCTATTCAATTGAGCAATACCCTATCGAAAGTTAAAAATAAATGACTGGGGATTGATAGCGCTGGGAAAAAGTTTTCATTGCTGTTCTAGTGAATGTGGACGGGAATGCAGCAATATGAGATAGAAGGCACAAAGTGCCAAGCCGCGATCAACTCCATTCTTGCGCAAATCATGAAATCACATGGGATATTTTACAGCGTGTTGATATCGAACGCATACGAAAGCAGCACATACACGCATACGCTCACAGATCACATGAAATTGCATCTTCGGTAGCGTGAAAAGGAATAAAAATGAGGCGACTAAGTCAGTCTCAAAGTTCACGTTGAACTGATAAAAATAGGCATCATATATCTCTTCACGCATGCACGTACGATTGAACTCCTATCAAGCAGTTAAACATGAAAAGTTATGCATTTACCGATTCGTATAGCTAAACTGGTTATTGCCATCAATTGTGTAAATATGTAGATGGAATGAAATGATAACGTAGACAAAGCAGTGACGAGTAAGATTAGTTGAAAGGGGATCCAATGCATATGCGACGCTTCCTCGTTCCTAAGCCGACCGAGTTTGCATTGCCTCACATAACTCAAAATTTCTCGTAACATTAAGGGGAACAGTCTGAGGAAAGTGGGCAGACAACTGAATCGTTCGAAAGGGCGTGAAACATTATCGTCAGCAGCCATTCCGTGGATTCACCCACAAAAGTGTGGCATCCACAATCAAATGCGTTATTGGTAACATCCTAAAATAAGCTGGGTAACAGCTATATACCTAACCTGCTAGATGACGGATAAAACTGCACAACGTAATGCCAATCTTAACGGAACGAATGAAAGTAGAATCACACAAGTGTCAACGTTATTTTAAGGCGAAGCAACCCTAGTCAAAACTCCACTCTCAGTAGGAAGGTCGTTAAGAGTGTATTGATTTTCAAAACAAGTATTTCAAAAAAGGAAGGGAATAGAGAATGCCATCAGTCGAAACTATGTCATAGAAAATGTGCTTTACTTAGAAGGGCAAAACTAATCAAACTCACTATTCGGTAAATCCTAACATCGTGTTTTGTCAGTCTACACTGCGTCGGACTAGCAAGCTAATGCTTAGCAAAAGTTGCAAGTTTCGTTTTTATTCGAGAACAACTAGAAAACTAAATCAACAAGGTAAAGTGAGACATGGAAACAGATAATTTTGAGACCCCACGTAATTGGTTGAAAGGACTAATACTAACCATTTGATGAGCTATGGATCAATGGTCTTGAATGGCGAGGTACAGCAACTGCACGCCATGCCCGCCCACACATGCATGTGCCATCCGCAATGCTTTCATACGCCCAAGCGCTCACGTGGTTCATGTTGCCTCGTCCACCGCCACCAAATCCGATCAAATAGGCTCTCTTTCAACAACTAACGAGGACCCCAACTGCAAATACCGTGTAAGCAAGACGCAGAAATGGGCGAATGTTTTAGAGGATAAAAACTTGAAAAATTTGGAATAGAACTACTATCTTGAAATTGCTCCAGTGTTTATTGAATACGGTTCTAATCCTCTTTCCCACGCTAGACACAACAATGAGGAATCTTGAATATGGAGGTATAGTGAACATCAGAAGGTCCGCTAATGCGACTACCTCACGACCCACAGGTACCAAATTAAGAGCAAAATAGAATCATGAAGTTTATCTACAGGTAAAAATTGCATTATCTTGACCTTGAAAGCAAAAATATAAGCGCCAAATGGTGCGTAGTGCATAGATAATGTTAGATTATTTGGGATTACGAATGGATATGAAAAGTTCAGGCAAAAAGCATGACAGTCAGTGAAAAAGAAGCAAAATCCAGGTGGTACAGCTTGAATATGCAACAATAATTGAGTTTGCATGCCTTTCAAGCACTAATAAACTACTCGACGATTTCGCATAGTATAAAAATTAAGCTGATACACATTGGCATTAGATGTGTATAGACATGCCCTGTGGATCGCAAATCGATCATGAAGTCAGGCGGATATCTGCAGACTTACACAAATTCACCCAAAGAAACGAACGACTGCCTGTCGGTGAGGTCGAAGACAAGAAGGAACCCCTCACTATTGCGATAGAAAGTATCCCGAATGCCTGCATAGTCTTCTTGTCCTGCAAATGAAACAATATCATCGTGAGCGGCGGTGTCAGACCTGCTCTGCTCCAGCAGTTCCATCAAATGAGACAAAATTCAATTAGAGACAACGTTCCTATTGAAGGGTAACTGAATGCAAGCTTGGAAGAAGAGCAGGTGCAATACATCAAACACCTAATTGAATTACCAGCAGTATCAAGAATGTGCAGTTGAACGTCCTCACTACCGAACGATATCTTCTTTCGGTAGGAGTCCGCTCGTGTGGGTTCGTAGTCCTTTACAAATTCATCGTACATGAAGTAAAGCGTAAGAGCACTCTTTCCCACACCACCGACACCGGCAACAATCAATTTGACAAAGTTCTGCTGTTGTTGCTGTTGAGCCATCAATATAAGTATAGTCAGTCTGAAAAAACCAAACACAAAGTCAACCACTAATAGGACCTATGTGTTGCAGGTGATTCAACAACAAGTGATTCATACGCTTGGGCATAAGATGAGCAACAAGTTAACACCAATAACTTCCGCATACTGACAAAATATAGTGAGAGTTCCGACCCCCAAATCTGAGGAATATGTGACGGTTTTGCAAGAAATCACAGAAACATCTTAAGAAAATTTATGCTGTACTGAAAAAGCTTATTTGGGAACTAAGTCAAACATCAAATTTTCAAAAATTTACACATGCCTTGAATGCTAGAGAATTCTAATTTTCGCACCAATATCGCATTCTTAACTGTAGCGAAAAGTAAGGGGACAAAATTGGGATCTAAATGGGGGAATATAAACAGTACTGCCAGAGTTTAAAAATTGAAGCGCTGCATTTCAGCTTGAAATATTACGTAACAGTTTAAAACTACTCCAAAATACTTCAAGTAGCTGGATTGATAGAACCTACATTCGAATTAAACAAATTTCGTAAAATTTCTACCCAAATCCCTTTGAAGAGCTGGAAAAAGAGTGGCAAATCTAATAAGAACACGAACATAGACGAATGAGTTAGCTAAATAAGGTAAGCCAAAAAGTGAAGTAAGTAAAAAGAACTGCATCTAAAGAGAATTGTGAAATACTGGAAGGAACGAACTGTACACATCTCCAATATCTCTACAAGACGCAAACCTTAATCAGCCGAATGCACAACGATGACAGTGTGATGGTGGGTCAGCAGATTGATGCATCTCAAAGCCGCGCTGAACTTCAGTTTTAAAATGGAAAATACTAATAATGGCATAAGAAACTAAAATGCCGAAAAATACTGCACAACTCAGACTAAAAGCTGCGCAACACTTACCATTCACTAAACACTTTTCACCTTATGGCCAGTATAAATGAGTAGGTAAAAGGCTGACAATGAACTGATTTGCGTTTTCAGAGGCGATGGTGTAATGTATATACCAATGTATTTATGCGAGAGGGACAATTGCTAAATTTAAACACGAATTTAGCGCTTGAAGAATGCAAGGATTCTTCTGCGGGCAACGCCATATCGCCGTTTTATTCATACCCGTATCCCTTCAAATTACGCAAAGAACACCAATTGAACCCTCTCCAAATAAACCTCTTATGATGCCAGTGGTTTGTAGGCTAGGCAGAAGTTTTGCAATTATTTATGATGCAGCAACGGAATGGGAAACGGGACTTTACGTTCTGAGTGTCAAAGCAAAACAAAGGATCAATATTTTTGGCAATAACGGCATGAATTTAGGATATAACTTTCGATGATGGCTAAAATTTGGTCTTAGTCAATAGACTGGACGCTTTATCACCTTCTACACTTGGAATGCCGATGTTTTGTTTGGAGTGTAATGCTTTTATTTATTTTTAAAGAGATATCTAGTCCTTGCATTTCTGTCGTTGACAGACTCTTTATCTCTCGCTAACCAGTTGTAATTCTTCGTTGCTAAATAACTATCTTAGGCTGCTATTGCCCTGCTGATCCCAATGCCTTCCAAATATGCGCTGGCCCCTGACCAACACAACAAAACCAGATCCTCCTCCATATGGTCAGACATAATGATTTGTATTGGACCCCTATATTCGTAATAATTTGTTAATACGACTACCTGATATCTGGCAGTTATTTTGGTGTTCGTCCTGCATTTGTGTGGGTAGGCTGTGATACGGATTAGTTCAAAAATTAAATGCTTCTTTCCTTCCAGAATACATACATTCAGCCAAAGTTATTGTCTTCTCCTAACAAGTTGAGAAGCCTCAAGGAGCTAAACCGGTCGAAGTGGAGAAAAATGGACTATTTAAACGACTTGTATTCTTGTTTGCAATATGTGTCGACGATGCGGATGAAGCGTATGACCATCGAGCGAAAGAGTCGTTGATTTTTTTGGCCTTGACTTATGTCCGCGTTCCGCAGACAACCTATTTACATCTGAAGCAATACCGCTGTGAACTATCTGGATAGCATTGTGTCAGAATTCTTCCTCCTACGTCCGTGTATAGATGTCGGAAATAATACCCTTGCGGATCCGCTTGCATACGGCAATGTGCTTGATCCCGTTTCTCTTGCCTAACATCTCTTTTGGACTAGTGTTCCAATATCAAATGCTGAAAGCAAGTGATTGTCAACAGACGCATAAAGCTCTAATTCCTGCTGTTGGTGTAGCGTCCCGAGACTTCCCACAGGGTCGAATAAGGCAGTAAAAGAAGCTGGGTACGTGTATTTAAAAGAGAACAAAGAAACTGGGTCTGAGCGGGACCCAAAGGTCGGCTCACGAGTACACGGACAAGACAAATCCTAAAGTGACCGCATTACAGTTTGATCATACCTAACCCCAGATCTAGATAAGACTACTAAAAAGACCACATTAGCTTCCTCATTCGCATGGTGACTAATGACCGACATGACTGACCCGTGGATGTTTCTTTGTAGCGCCGAATTTGTTGTGACGACTGGCGCGGGAGGTGCATCAAGTCAACCATCGAGAATGTTGTTCACAAGGGAAGATAGACAGTGTAATACCTTTTTTATGTGGTCATCTGATGTCTGGTTTTGACTTTGGTGCCTTCTTTTGCCTTTCTTCTTCTAGCCACGACACCAAAGCTGTAATGCTACGTTTATGTGACTACCTGACGTTCGGCGGTCACTTTGGAATTTGTCTGGCCCCTGTACTCGTGGGTTGGCATTCGGTTTATGCTCAGACACATTTGTTTTGTTCTCTTCAGACTACATGTATCCATGTACCCTATTACAAGTCTCCTAATGCCAGATATCAGGTGATTATATAAACAAGGCATTACAATACAAATAGCTAACTGCATGAACACGAATTGTTTAATAATTTATCTAATTTTGGTTTGCTTGCAGCACTTGTCCAAGATTTCACGAGTCAGTATGACGCGCGGCGCAATATACATATCGGTAATTGTGATCTTGTGCTAATGTGTACCATGCAGTCTCATAATTTGTAGTAGATGTGAACTTCGGAAGTCAAGGTATTTGTAATCCGCAAATAAAAAATCATTAAAATAAATTAGACAAATAAAGAGAGTTTAATTTAATTATTTATTCATTTAACGTCAGTTTTATCTAAAGCCATAGAATTTGGACGTTTGTTTAAATCTCTAAGATTGAAAGGTCATCAAGAAACTAATATTTTGTGTATTTCGGTCTTGAGCTTTCGCGACGCATGCTTTAATGGAAGAAAGAGGTGATTCTCGGGTGCCTCCTCCTCGTGTTCGGATTTTTGAATGCGCCCGTGATGGAATTCAGGAATTATTTAATCGCGACTCTAGCAAGGCTACAAAGCCGATGGATGAGCGTAATTTTCCAAAATCATTTTGGATTCCACCCACAAAGGAGCATTCAAAGTGCTCTGGCTCCCTAGTGGAGAATAATCAGGATGGTTTTTGCATTTCGCATAGGAAGTCGAACTCATCACCTTCTTGTATTGGTGCTAACGCTGCCTATCTTTCCGAACCTATCGACCACAACAGGCAAAAGAGTTTAGATACTACTCAAAACTTGGCTCGAAATCCAAAGGGCAGCCCTATGATGTGTAATGCAGGGCTATTGCCACATACGGACAGGGGGTACAATCCTTTTAATACTTTACTTTTGTATGTAGCCCCTTTCATTATTCGGATACGCGACAGTCTGATAGCCTCTCATCTCCAGTATGTGAATTGCCGCCAGAGTTTCAAATGGCGATTAACGAAAATAAGCAAGTTTATTTTCTCAATCACGAAACAAAACAAACTACTTGGTACCTTCTATTTATCTAGCCGAGTGTTAAGGTTCGATCCGCGTATTCCGCCGGACGAGCAGAAGTGGGGCATGACAATAGAGGAATTAGATCAAATTCATATAAATTATGCAAGACGTCAAAAACTGGATACACATTCCTTGGAGGTAAGTATTCGTTATATCGAGTAAACGTTGACTTTAAAATTGGATTTTCTCTAACTACTTTAAGAAGACGTCCGAGTAGGAGACATCCCAAACTAACTTAACACTTCAAACCGTTATTCATATTCCCTGTTAAAGTTCTGATAAATTTTCATTTGTACGGTCACCAAATATTCATCCTTTCGTATAGTCAATACCTGGGAAATATCTTGCTGAACTATCAGGTGAAAACCTTGACTTGCATTGAAAGGGTCATCGACAATTACCAGCTTCTCCGATGTCAGTGCTATCTCCAATTGATTCGGGAGGAATGAGTGGTGGGGGCGGAGGGGGCGAATCCACCAGCTGCTGCTCAACGCTGCCCAGTTCTCCAAGCAGCACAGCCGGTCATTTAGTCTCGGGAAGTGGTGGGGGTGGGGGTGTTAGACCGGCCTCAGTGCCGCGAATGCAGCATCCGGGTGCTTTCTCCATGACACACATAGCGCCTACGCCACGTGCCCTCCCCATGAACCTTCTCCCCCCTCAGGGCTCCAAGCCGATGCCGTCCCGACAGCAGCAGCACCAACAACAACAACAGCACATCGCTCATACCAAGTAGGCTTTTACGGGTCTTTTCCTATGCCCTTATCGCTTTCATACCTACACGTAGCTAAGTTTAAAATGGTACAGTTGTGTCAACAAAATGCGCAAAATCTTCGTGTTTTCTCAAGGATTTCATAGAGTTTTAAGTAATTTAGCCATCGATTTGATATTCGATTGACAGAATTTGGTTCCTAAACTAAAATTTTGGAAGTGTTTGCCATCTAGGCTTGTAAAAATCGAGCAAAAATGTTTTAACCAGCTTTTGAAAAAGCATGCCATTCTTTTCGCTTTCAACAACTGCATACGGTTATTATTAAGCACATACAAAATTATTTTTGGACTGCTTTTTTTTAAAATGTCTCTTTGTTTCCTTTATTTATGGTGGAAGTCATAGCTTCACTTTTTTATCCAAGTGAAATTTAACGTCTTGATGCAAGTAACTCCTCATAAATAGCATGGTTTTATTTCACTAGTTCTCATTACACCTAAAGTTTGACCCATATAACTGAATCTGGAACCTTCTCTTGGTCTGCGATAAACAATGCACGTTGATGCTGGAATGCATTGGTCAGGAAGAATAAGTTATGCGAATAATAGTCGAGTAGAAGAGCACACTCTGTCATGGAGTGTTGAACGAGAGTTCTCCTCTTGGATTGTGTATCCAAACTGCTAGGAGAATTAGTAGTTCCAGATCGACCTCCTAGATCTTGCAATGCATAAGCGCTTTGTTTACTGGTATTAGTGACGAGTCTGACCTTTTGTATTGGTAGAGTGCTAGTCTTTGAAGTTACGGTCTCGAAGTTCTTGACCCCTTTTACATTCTGTAGTCTATAATTTGATTTGGGGATATATCTACTCCTACCCTCTATTATTCCAGTCCTTCATTCATGGAGAGTTGTTGCCTTCTATTCGAGTCACTCGATCACAAGAGTAGTAACGCAAGTTACTCTTTCGCAAAAAGAATCGAAAATCTTTTCCATTTCAAATAAAAAATCAAGTATTGCTTATGGCAAACTTCATAATGGACTAAAAATACTTCCACTTTTGTATCCTATCACATGTATACACATACAGTGCTAGTACATTTTACACAGTGAAAAAGTTGAAAGCACTCAAAGCAAGTAATCAGTCGTCTTGCGTATGCTAGCGCAATGTAAGACATCTTATGCTGAAACATGTCCAAATTTAGTCAGCGTTTGGAATACATCTAGGCCATATTGAATCTATGGCGTTCAGGTTAATTGATTGTACCCGTTTTAGAATAATTTTTGGCAAATTTTCATTAAGATAAGTTAAAGATACGAAGGTGTACTGCTTCGCCATTGAGCGTAAAGCAAATGACAAATGAATGGCAGAAAACGAAAAAATTATAAGGTCCAAGCGACTTTCACCTTGGCTGGGACCCATATAAAGGAGGAGTGCGAATAAAAACAGGGGTTTGTGGGTGTGCCTAGTGTTCTATAAGCACCATTTGTATTACGTAAAAAGTAAAAATGTTTAGTCAACCTCGCACGGAAATAGCTCTTGAGGTATATTATGCTTGATGGGAAAGTATTCAAAACATCACTCTAATTGATGCACATCTACGCGGCTTTTGAAGAAGTTGATTCGCAGAGATATTTAGTGAAATTTGCCTCTACGAAATCGATACCGCTATTTGAGTAAAATTAGATAAATTTTGATTTGCTGTTACATAAGTAATTCCTAGGCGTAGTACAATTTTACCGGCTTCAGGTGCAGTACTTTTTCTGCAAACTAATAAGGATTTTACTGGAGTCTTTGCAACTGTAGGTGTGTAGTTACGGGAAATTGGGCACCGAGTCGACAAAATGTTAGGTATTTCATGACTAATGACATTCTAAAAATAGGCATTGGTTTTATTTGTGGGATAAATTTAGTAACTCTATTTCTTCGTTTACTTCAATGTGCATCAGAATGCCTTGACATAATAAACGTCCAATTCTCTTACAACCTTCTAAGGAATGAAACATATTCTAAAGTATTTACCTTATTCAGGCAACGGAGAGGATATTGTAGACTCAAGTTTCGCATATCCCTGTTCTATTGGTCGAATAGTCGGAAGCCTTCACTCTGGTACTTTCGTGTGAATTGGCTGTGCGCGCAACTCGGCTTCAGCGACTTTTACGCCTCTGAGCGAACCAATGTGCTTTAGGTGGTGTGTCCACTTCCAGTTTAGCAGACTTTCCTGATTTAACACGGTGCCTTCTTTGAAGAAACACAAGAGGTGACATTTTTTGGCCTCCGTTATATAAACAAGTGTCTGGTCTTAAATAAGTAGGTTTGGGCATGCAAGTGTGCTATTATCCCAGCACCATTCTTTTGCTAGCCTTGTATTTTATACCAAAATATTTTCGTAGTCGACGAATACTTTGTAGTTCAATCAGTAGTTTCGATCAAGCCACGACTATGACCTCTTGTTAATGCATTTTCATTCAATGGTGATCAGCAGTCCTGGCGGCATAGGGTCACTGATTAAGTATAGAGGCGCGGTGCTGTCGGATGTACAAACAGGTCAGTTATAGGGTCGCAATGTGTGGACTGAAATAAGATGTAATGAAGTAGACAGCTTAATGCAAGCACACCCATACTGCATCGGATCCGAATTTCTAAGCCATTTGGAAATATTTGTTCCTAATGATTTCACGAAGGTCTTTCTCTTCCCATAGCTTCACAAATTTGGTAACAAAGGTTGTGGTAAGTTGAAGTGCCTTGGTACAATATGCGTGCAGGTAGAGATTCGTAGCGCTTGTTTTGTAGATCATCGAGTCAGCCAGTGGCCATGACAGTGAGTGGTGTGTCAGGCCATGCAGATTCCTGTATGGGAGGTGGTGGTGGAGGTAGTTCAGGCGGATATGCTCTCGGTCCAAGCTCCTCCCTCACAAGGTTGCACCATCCTAATTACGGAGCAACACTGTTTCCCTCAAGCGAACCGCTTCCTGCTACTTCCTCAGGCCACTTGGCTCAAGACATGGAGGAACTGTCGCTAAGCCGCGGCACCGGCGAGACGCCTCTTCCACACCTCCAGCAGATGTTCTGCACCACACCCCTTCTTCCCCTCCTCTCACAGTCCTCCATGCCGCCTCCTGGAACTGCTCCCACCGCCAATGCTGGGGAGTATGGTACCGGTGGATCTGTGGCCACTCAACAAATCTCTTCGGCACAGCACTCACATCAGAGCAGCATGGACAGCGGCGTAGGACCCTCTGTAGCTGGTGGTCACTCAATTCCCAGCGCCAACCAGACACCTGAGCACACCAAGGTGGCCTGCTTCGATTCAAGTGAGTCATTTCGCTGTTTTGTCAGGGCATTTGTTCCGTACACGCACGCACACACTTCCACAATTAACTGCTCTTTCAACCAGTTAACCTTAATCCTATGGTTCCTTTGTCAGAATACTTATTACGTGGACAGCTACCATATCACTAGGGTCGCGCCAAATGTATCAGATACTGAATTGCATTGTGTATTACTTCATGTGAAGGTTCCAACTGTTGAGACACCGTGGTAGACCGATGCGTTATAATGATATTTCAAAATTGTCACAGGACTTCTTCGACTTGCTTCACATAATCAAGGTGCAAGTAGAAGAGAGGGGTCATGGTAAAATATAATTGCTACTTTTCAGGGAAAATAAGGGTTAACTTTGTTGGAAATTAACGATGATCAACCACATACATTTGATTTGTGTTCAATTTCATTGCCTATTGTTGATCTAGTATAAGTACTTCTGCAGTGGCTCATCAAGCTTTAAAATGGTATGACCTTACACGTACAGCCAAGGAAGAACGCAAGATGACTCTTCAGTAGTCTTCCTAGTGTTGTCTTCTACTAAGCTTAGTAGCTCTGTGATTACAAAGCAAGATCCTGTGGTGCAGAGAAACGTACTAATTTGGGACTCTGTCTGTCTTTCTGCTTGAATTCACCTTTCCATGTACGTGATTGACAGTTCTGCTGTTTGTCTATCCGCCTCATTTGGCCAGTTTAGGCATATTTTCCCAAAGAGTATCAAAAACATGCCATTTGCTAGAATTTGGCTAGTGAGACAAATCGTAGTGAATATCACCGGTTAGGCATAAGTCATAACACCTATTCAATTTAAAATAACCATTTGCCTTCAAGTTTCGGGAGCTTGTCGTGGTTGTCTGATGTCTAGAAGTAAATTAATTTGGGACTAATTCGAGGAAACCGGTGGTACTAATGATAGCCATTGGCGGCAATGGAAAATGTTTAAGGAAAAGGTGTAAGAGTTAAGACCTGCTACTGATAGGATAGGCTTTATATCAATGAAATACATTTCAGTAACTTACGTAAACATCGTCTTTTCAGCCGTCATATCAGCACTTAGGTGTCCTCTATCTAATGTTTCAGTACGTGATCGTTCATCCAAAGTCCAATTTTACTCTGTCAAGGTCAAACGATACTACACTTATGGCCATCTCATCATTGTCCTTTAGGAGAGCAATTTCTGTAGTTAAGAAAATGACATAATTTGCAAGGAAATCTCTAGTTCTTGACGAAGGAAAACTACATACGGCTGATTGGTAAAATCCAGTGCTAGTGATATTAGATCCGTTTACCTAATTTTCCGTTATTACAGACTAGTAAATGGCACGTTTATAAATAGTCTTGAAGCCTTGCTATTCTTGGGTGATGACCGAGGGCCTTATTTTCCAAAGTGCAACTTCAAATCCGTCTTGTATTCGCTTCGATCCTAATTTGGTTTACGGGCGGAAATCCCACTGAAGAAGATAGATCCGAGCAACTCCAATTGAATATTCTCCATTCTCGGGTTTTGTTGTAAATCGAAGAAGGCCTGTGGTTCCCCTAAGTGCAATAAGTTGCATTTTCATGATAGATTCGCATAACCAGCCATTTTCAGTGAAATAAATGGCAATCATTAAGCAGTTGAGTATAATTACTTCCAAACTTTTATGTAGCAAGCATTTCGATGCATTTAAATCTCATCTCTTTCAATCCTTTTGCATGTCTACTATTATTAGTCGTGAACCGTTTATAATAACCGCTAGTCAAGCCATCTTACTGAACGCAATGGAAGCGCGTGCCTCCCGCGCTCTCTTAGGACTACTGCATACGAAAAGGGCAGCAAACTCAGGCTTTCATAATTGTACATGGGAAGGACGTTCCCGCACCCTCTTGTGGACGGCTGAAGTCAGCTTCATTTGTCGAGTGTACTTTGAATTGCAACTCCATTCCTTGCCCCAATTTGCGGCAAGTGCACCCACTGCTGCAAGGCTTTAGTCGGAAGGAACCTTGCATGCCTTCGATACGAAGCACTCACCAATGTTGAAGAAGTTAAATTGGTGAAAAAACGTTGCCATTGTGTCCTGGGCCAAACTTACGCAGTAACCCAATTTAGACATAAAGTCATAAATCAGGCGTTACATTCTCTTGAACAGATTTGCAAGGTCTTTATATTAAGTACGCGAATGAAAAAATGTGATTCAGAGATGGTGTTTTACAAGACTATTATTAGGAGAAACAACTTTGAAGTCACAGCAAGATGTTATACTCTATACACCTCACTGGTCGGTTGATCTTTAGGAAGTCTGGTGGAGATGGATATTTCTTACAGGCTTTGGAGTAGCCATTTACATCTAGGCATACGACTTTCCTTTATTTTGGTCTTTCGTTGTCATTTGTACCCCCTGTTAGCTCAAAATAGGACAACTGCATCATGTTCCGGTTTGATGCCGTATGAAAACATCCATTGAGTGACGCAAAGCGATGAGCGTACTTGCTTTGCGATTGTTGATTATGTTGCATCACATTAATGGGAACAACGAGAGGGCACGAGGGCACCCCAAAAGGAAGAATTAGTAGAATAAACAGACGCTTGGTAGTACCCTGTGAATGTGAACAACTGTTGTGCTATTTTCTGCAGTGTATGTATATATACCCATAAGCTGGAATATATGTGTATGTGAAGTGATTTCCGACACCAGTTGGTGTTACCGCTTCGTACAAGCTTGCCGATCATGACTACTGCTGACTGTGTGCACATTTAACTTAGTTTCCCCATTAATACAAGTGATGGGTCGTACTGTGCAAGGCTTTGCTAGGGTGGGGAGTGCAGAAGAGTGGGAGTGGGGTAGGGAAGCGGAGTGAGGGGGAGGGGGAGTGGACAGCGGAAGCGAAAAGTGGCAGTGCTAGTGGTGGTTGTTGTTGTTACCTTCCTGTAGATATTTTGCCTTCCCTCACGTGCTTCACGTAGCCCTAGCTTGGCCCCGCTCGTCAGGCTATTCGTCCACCCGTCTGTCCGTTCCCCATGCGGCGTCCAACCGAGCCCATGTGTACATCTCTGTATTTAGGTTGAACAGCTGTTCCTTTGCCTACAACACCTCATTAAAAACAAGCGACTTCTCATTAATCGAAGAATTCTTTGCCCGTCCATATTTGATGGCTCTATGTTGGGTGGTCTCGTTCGATCAATGATGGTCGTGCGTTTCGTAGGTGTTGGAGTTTCAAAACACCGCAATCTCCATTCTCCCAGCTGAGAGTGAACACATTCTGGCATCCAAAAAATACGTTATGTAAGATTGGTAACCGATGCATGTAAGAATAAGAAAGGGATGTTACTGCACATTGAAAAGGGAGCAGTCTTGTAACGGAATTTGCGATAATGGCAGAAATTTAAACTTTTTTTTAAATCCGTGCACAATAAATTGCGTAATTGTTCTATTTACCTATTTACTTGCCAATGCGAGTAATGTCAGTGTCTCCGAAACACATTGGAGTCAAGTGAGGATAGGGTCACTCTTTATCAACTCAGTAAAACAACGTTTATTCTGGATGATTGAGCGCCCTTGTTAAATGACTGTTTTAAAAGTCGATGTTAAGTTTGTATTGTTCGTAAGTGAGAGCAGGTCACTTATCACTCTAGTTGCACTTAAGTAGTTGGATCTGCAACCAATGCGTGCCCTTAAAGCCGGTGTCTGGCGTATCCTGTTTCTAATTTCCTGAGGTCTTGCTGGCTAATGACTGCGGCTTGATTCGCAATTTCGTTACCATTCAATAAGTATTCCATACGCAAATAATGCGTTGAAATGGTGCTTTTGAAGTCATTTCTCCAAATTTGAAGTATATTTAACGCCCCTGAGTTAGAGGCTTTACGCATGTACACAACACTACTAGCAAAGTATTTGTTCAAAGTTGTCGTCAAACCTTTGATTTCAAACAAGTTGTTATTGTTTGACTGTCGAGTGATATGTGCCGAACGCGGGTTGCCGAGATAGTAGAGGTGACTGCTGCTAAACTGAGGTTTAGCGTCGGGGCTCAAGTCAATACCAATTAAGGTGTGTGTGAGTGAGCAGTAAATTAGATGGAGTCAATGCAACCGACTGCAGAGCTCTCAAGAAACTCGAAGAGGGGTAGACTTCCGAGACCCTTTAAAAGGTCTGACCTGTTTAGCTTTATCGCAATTTGAAACTAGCCAAGGGGAATGAACCAATATCCGTCCAATCCACATTCCTATCCATCATTTTGTGAATACATGGTTTCCTTACAAAATACACTTTATAGGTGCATGGAGCTATGCTAAATGAGTTTGCTCATTTATATTTCCTCAAAGTGTTCCAAACAGTAGAGTTAACAACTCTGCGTAGCTTCAAAAAGGAAATCGAGTTGTCCCAGCGAACGCTAATGGTATTAACAATTGCAGAAGGAATCTCCTTACCTCAGCAGTTAAGGGATTCACTCGAAAATAATAGAACCCAAGTCTTTGAGGCTTTCGAAGGACTGTTTCGGCTACATCTGTGTGAATTTAAAAGTTCGTTTTTGACGCTATTGTATAAACCAAGATAAAGTGATGAAAGAGCTTGATAATGGTTGTCAGAGAGCTAGGATTTTTGGTGATTTTTAAGGCACATGTTTCTAGCATCAATTCTAACTGAAGTATTATTAATGTGTACAGAATTTAAACTTATTCTACTTATACTCATGTTTCTTACTAAATCTGTTACCACCAAATGAGTTTTTTCAATCACACTGGTTTTCCTAACATATAGTCTGGGCAGTTCCATCGCAGCTCGAATCCTATTGAAATGTGGTTGTAAGGAGCTACTAAAGTAGATTGTGGGTGGTATTTTTTCTCTTTCATAACGACTCTTTAAAGAGAGCACAGAACTTGGAAATTTTTTATAGCATAACTATCTCAATCCGTAGCAATTACTAGCTCATTTCCTGACCAAAAAGGTTGCATATGGTGGTCATACCAAAAAATTAACCAATTAATTGGAACGGAATACTAGGTGAGGAGGATAAGATAATGCGCAATTTGATGTACTGGGGAGATTTCAATGAATGGTAGCTTGCACACATGTGTGCCTCCAAACGCACCTAGGCATTTGTCCATCCTGCAGCTTCCTACTGCCTTTCCCCATGCATGCACGAAACGCCACTGAAAATGCCACACACCCACTTAGGGTGACGTTCTTAAAGTAGCTTTAAAGAGGAAAGGAAGAAAGGGAAGGAACAAGTGAGCAGGTAGAA